TTGACATATCCGACCGAACTACAAACTTTCCAGTGATGTTTGTGAGAAAGGGATATTCTCTCGACAAGCTTGCCATCTGCGCTGCCGCGCGCTCAATCCACTCAGCGTGATTTGCTTACCAGCTGGCGCAAATCAGCTATACAGGCATTAATACTGAATGTTTTATATTCATTGCATACATACAGGTGCATCCCAATAAATTAAAATGTCGTGGAAAAGTTCATTTATTTCAGTAATTCAACTCAAATTGTGAAACTCGTGTATTAAATTCAATGCACACAGACTGAAGTAGTTTAAGTCTTTGGTTATTTTAATTGTGTTGATTTTGGCTCACATTTAACAATAACCCACCAATTCACTATCTCAACAAATTAGAATATGTTACATGCCAATCAGCTAATCAACTCAAAATACCTGCAAAGGTTTCCTGAGCCTTCAAAATGGTCTCTCAGTTTGGTTCACTAGGCTACACAATCATGGGGAAGACTGCTGATCTGACAGTTGTCCAGAAGACAATCATTGACACCCTTCACAAGGAGGGTAAGCTGTCTGTGTTTCTTTGTCTGAATATGGCACTTATCACATGCTGTGTGGTATCGGCGTTTGGTATCGGGGCATTTTAACGAGTACGAGCACGAGTACAGGAGCTCAGTATCAGGCCCGATATCGATACCAGTATCAAATATTAAGAGAACATTAAATCGTTAGGTCAACTTTAAAACACATGTAATCACCTTATTTGTTTTATACCAATGCTATCTGTAAGGTATACATGCGTTTGGGTGAATAAATGTCTGTAAGAACATCGAATGTACTGTATTTGTTAGGTTAATGCTTCAGCTACAGATGATGTGTTGTGCAATTGTTAATTGGGTTTCTTTCTTTAGTAATGGCATTCATTCTCGCTACATAAGATACCTGTCTGTTATGTAGTGCCCTGTTATACTGCATTACTGTGTAATATTTATGGTTTCTATAGCCGTGGCATCATTATGATGGTATGAAGAGATGGATTAATTCATGTAGGACGCCACTGAAGGCCTAGGTGTAAAATGCACGGCCCGCCACTGCGTTATAGTATTATGAAAGACTGCCTCTTCCTCACTATATATATATAGTGGGTACGGAAAGTATTCAGACCCCCTTAAATTTTTCACTCTGTTATATTGCAGCCATTTGCTAAAATCATTTAAGTTAACCTTTTAATTTTAATTTTCCTCATTAATGTACACACAGCACCCCATATTGACAGAAAAACACAGAATTGTTGACATTTTTGCAGATTTATTAAAAAAAGAAAAACTGAAATATCACATGGTCCTAAGTATTCAGACCCTTTGCTGTGACACTCATATATTTAACTCAGGTGCTGTCCATTTCTTCTGATCATCCTTGAGATGGTTCCACACCTTCATTTGAGTCCAGCTGTGTGTGATTATACTGATTGGGCTTGATTAGGAAAGCCACACACCTGGCTATATAAGACCTTACAGCTCACAGTGTTATACATGAGTATAACTACAGTTGCAGTGCAGATGCACCGGCAATTTGCTCTCGAGAGTTCATGGACATTCCAATATGGTGGACGGCTTACATATAGCGGCCCATGGAAACAGCCGCTAATAGGGCATCTACCTATACATATCTATGGGTTACACTACCTAGACAGGGCAGAAAAAGGAAGCTATCAATGGCTGCAACCAGATATCTGAGAAGGCAGGTTCAGAAAAATCCTCGAGTGACTGCAAAAGACCTGAAGCAGGACTTGGTGGCAATAGGCACTGAGGTTTCAGCTTGCACAGTAAGGCTTGTACTAAATGCAGAAGCATGGAAAGCACAAGAAAAGTCAGCTCCAATATGCCACAGAAATTTTGGGATTCTGTTCTGTGGAGCGATGAAACAAAACTGGAACTTTTTCGGCCCTATGGATCAGCAGTATGTCTGGAGGAAGGAGAATGAAGCATACACTGAAAAGATCACTTTGTCTGCAGTTAAGCATGGTGGTGGCTTGGTGATGCTCTATGGCTGCATTGCATCCTCTGGCACTGGAAACTGCAGCATGTGGAAGGCAAGATGGATTCATTGAAGGATCAGGAAATCTAATGAGAAAATGTCATGGCATCTATGAGGAAGCTGAAGCTTGGGCATCACTGGACCTTCCAACACGACAATGATACCAAGCCTACTTCAAATTCCCACGGAGGCTTGGTTGCAGAAAAAGTCCTGGAAGATTCTACAGTGGCAATCACAGTCACCTGAACCCAAAATCTCTGGTGGGATTTACAAAAGGTGGATGCAGAACGTAAACCCAAGAATATCACTGAACTGGAGGCCATTGCTCATGAGGAACAGGCTAAAATTCCTCAGGAACGCTGCCAGAAGCATCTCGTTTGCAGCAGGTCATAATAGCATAAGGGTGCTCCACCAAGTACTAAAAATGCTTTCCATGATTATTATTATTATGAATAATTTTGAGTTTGCAGAAGTCATTAAAAGTTTAATTTTCAGTTGAATTTGGGGAAACAACTTCAAATATTTGCTGTGATGAGCTGCAGTGCATTCAGAAAGTATTCAGACCCCCTTCGCTTTTTTCAATTTTGTTAAATTGCAGCCTGAGTGATACTACAATCGTTTGAATAAATTTTTTCTCATTAATCTACATTTAGTACCCCATAATGACAAAGTGAAAACAGAATTTTAGAAATGTCTGTAAATTTATTAAAAAGAAAGTACTGAAATAAAGCATTTACATAAGTTGTAGAAAAGGCCCACTAAACAGTGATAAAGTAGAGACTTTAGCGCACCTTTGTGACTTTAAGTCTGTCATGAGCTGGGTTTGCGTCTCTGTTTCTCTCTCTCACACACATAGATATATACACACACACATACATACTCTATCATGCACACACACACACTCAGGCACACACATGCTCATTCTAGCTCTCATCTCCACCTGTTTGTCATCACAATCAGCGTGTGTGCTGCTTTGTGGGGACACCTGTTTCCACTCTGATCTATTAGTCACTCTATTTCTAGTGGTTGGGCTCACTGTTCTCTGTCGGATTATTGTGTGACATGCACATGGTATTGTTTGGAGTTCTGACCATGTCTTGTCTTGCTTAGTGTGCTGTGAGTCTGTCATCAGGATTCCATCCACAGACCAATGGACAAGCCGAATGGACCAATCAGATTCTCGGTCGCATGTTGCGTAGCTTGACCTCGTGGACCCCCACGTCGTGGTGCGACCAACTGTCCTGGGCGGAGTATGCCCATAATTCTCTGCCCTCGTCCGCCTCAGGGTTATCTCCGTTCGAGTGTTGTCTCGGTTATCAACCCCCACTATTTACATCCCAAGAGGCCCAGTCCTCTGTTCCCTCTGTAGAGGCATTTATTCAGAGATGTAAACGTACCTGGAGGAAGGTGAGATCAGCTTTGTGTCGTACCAGGGCACGTACACGTCGAGCCGCCAATCGTCACCGGGTTAGGGCTCCAAGATATGTTTGTGGTCAGAAGGTGTGGCTCTCCACCGTCACATTACGCTGATGAATCAGCTTTCCCCTTTAACAGTTCAGAATTAACAGGAGCAGTTCAGAGTGCACGGATAAAGACAACAAACAAACAGTTAATCTTTTTAATAAGCACGTGTCCTATAACTCCCGAAATATTGGTGTCTCATATTTTAGACCAGTCAATGCAATTTATGAAATAAATAAATTTAAAGTGTGTGTGTGTGTGTGTGTGTGTGTGTGTGTGTGTGAAAAATTCTGCTGTAACCACCTTTGTTATCATTAACATTTTCATAAGTAACTATACAATTTAATTATACATTTTTTTTTTTCAATAACTGTTACTGATTACAATTACATTTATTTTGTAATTAAATTACGAAATTCTGTTACATGTAATTCGTTACTCCCCAACACTGATTGTTAGAGAGTGCATTCATATACAAGTGAGTGACTTTGCTTATGTTATTCTTACCTTTGGAGAGCTGTAATTTCAAGTAAAAGCTTGATTTTTTAGCGTTAGTTATTATTATGTATGTGTATCACACGCATTGTGTATTGCATCATATATGGTGCTAGTGAAAGCATAAGACGGTTCAATTGTGATATTGGTGTATAATATTGTAAATTGTGAGACACTTTCAGTCACTTTGAGTATGTATATGTTGTAATTTACTGTATAAGAGACATAGAAGGGTTCATGCTATATATGCAATATCGATTATCCCGAGCTCAGGTGTCAGGCAACGTGCTATTATTTATATATATATAT